AAAAAAAAAAAAAATACATATACATGTGAATGTAGTCTCTTTCTCTCAAGAGCTTATTGTACTGTACTCACCCTTCTCATGATCTGTCCATCTGGTAACCAAGACAGTTACTAAATGACTGTCAAGTGAGTAGTGTATACACAGCATGCATATGCTAGACAAAGGGATGATTCACCTCCCAAGGCAAGACAGAGCAGGACAGCATGACGAAGTGGGATGGTGCCAGATTTCGTCACACTACTCAGAATGGCATGCAGTTTAAAACTTAAACATTGTTTATTTCTGGAATTTTCCATTTAATATTTTGGGACCTCAGTTGACCATGGGTAACACCACAGAATGTGAAACTGGATAAGGGAGGGACTACTGTACATTTGCCTAAGACAGTTCTGTATATTCTTCTGTTACCTGGGTAGCAAAAGCATACAGAAAGGTTTTGGGGGGATGCAGGGCATTGCTCTTCTGTAATGACAGTAATTTACTTCAAGACATTGCAGGGGAAGGGGTTAAAGGAGCAAAAGGGAAGAAGGATTCATTTCATGCCTGCCTATACAGAGACGTTTTCTTGATTCCATTTTTAAATTTTTTTATTTTTTTGAGACAGAGTCTCGCTCTGTTGCCCAGGCTGGAGTACAGTGGCACTATCTCGATCTCAGCTCACTGCAACCTCTGCCTCCCAGGTTTAAGTGATTCTCCTACTGCAGCTTCCTGAGTAGCTGGGATTATAGGTGCGTGCCACCATGCCCAGCTAATTTTTTGTATTTTTAGTAGAGATAGGGTCTCACCATGCTGGCCAATCTGGTCTTGAACTCCTGACTTCAAATGATCTGCCTGCCTCACCTCCCAAAGTGCAGGGATTATAGGTGTAAGCCATCGTGCCCGGTTGCATTCTACTTTTGAACTTGGCCAGGAATGGTGGCAGGCACCTGTAACCAACTACTCAGGAGGCTGAGGCAGGAGAATTGCTTGAACCCAGGAGACAGAGGTTACAGTGGGCCGAAATTGCAGCATTGCACTCCCGCTTGGGAGACAAGAGCAAGACTTCGTCTCAAAAAACAAAACAAAACAAAACTTTGAACTAAATTTCATTAACAGTAAGCATATTAATAAGCAAACCCTTTAAAATGTGGCATAAAAAGGCTGGGCGCAGTGTGGCTCAGGTCTGTAAATCCAACACTTTGGGAGGTGGAGGCCTATGGATCACGGGAGCGCAGGAGTTCGAAACCAGTCTGGACAACGTGGCAAAACCCTGTCTCTACAAAAAATTACAAAAATTAGCTGGGTGGAGGAGGTGCGTGCCTGTGCTCCCAGTTACTTGGGAGGCTGAGGTGGGAGGATCACCTGAGCCCAGGAGGTAGAGGCTGCAGTGAGGCATGTTCATACCACTGTACTCTGGCCTGAGGCAGAGGGAGATGCTGTCTCCAAAAAACAAAAAAGAATAGCTGTAGGGGCTCTCTGGGGCTCCTTAATGTCTGATCTTCCATTATTTGAAAGTAATGTTCTCTATAGAGTTAATTACATAATAGCATTGTAATTACTAAGTACCCTTAAAATGATTATCAAAGGCTTTTTAAAAAATGGCAAATAAAATTGAACTCTGCAATCTTTGTTAGGTACGTTATAAAAATCTTTTTGTTTTGTTTTGTTTTGAGGCAGGGCTTCACTCCGTTACCCAGGTTGGAGTGCAGTGTTGTGATCATTGTTCACTGCAGCCTCAAACCCCTCGGCTCAATCAATCCTCCCTCCTCACCCTCTTGCGTAGTTGGGAGTACAGGTACTCATCACCACAGCTGA